CCCCCCCCCCCCCGCCCAATCCAGTCTCAGGTCACGACCCGCGGCTAAACTTTTAATAATTTATACTAATGCATTTCAGCCCAGGCGATTCATGTAGAGGAGTAAGGGGAATGATTGAAAGAAACCATAAAATCCAGAAGACCCTCTATTTCTGCTGCCCAACTGGAGGCACTCGAAGGTTTCTTCTGACATTCTAACGGGAAGAAAAGGTGTGGGGAGCAATAGAAAGTGGAGGAAGAAAAGCTCGGCGAGGAAATCCGAGTCGTCCGGGAGTGGGACTCCCTAGGCAAAGCAAACGGTCCCAGAAAGAGAAGGGCTGTGTGTGTCCGGGGCGGGGGAGCGGGGGGGTGGGGAGGATCGATGCGGTCCACCCAGCCGCCCTCCGCTCTCGCCCCCAGAGAGGACGCAAACCATCCGCAACGTGCAGTTAAAATCAGGGAACTCTTCGATTGGATCTATCTTTCAAACGGTGGCGGGGCTGGGGCCAGGCAGCTGGGAACTGGGGCCCTGTCAGCCTAGAAAGGCTGGCGGAGCAAACCCCGCGGCGACCCCGTCTTCAGCTGCAGCAGCCTCGGGGCCAAGAGCGCCCCGCACGCAGTAGGCGCTCACTCGGTGTCTGCCGAACTGCAGTGCCCCTGAGCGCACTCCGCCGCCGCGGGAGGAGGTCCCCGGCTGCCACTGCGCATCTTCTCCCCCAGCTTCACGTGCCGCCCAGTTCCGCGGCTCGCGGCCGCCACAGGCCGCTGGCACCGCGACCCTCCCCCGGGGCGCCGCGAACGCCGCCGAGCCTCACTTACGGGGGAGTCGTACGAGAAGGCGCACTCGTTCTTGTACACCCTGTCCCCCGACCTGGGCACGCGGATCGTGGGCATGTGAGGCACCAGCAGCTCGCCGATGTCTCCTGCAGCCATCTTCCTGCTGCCGCTGCCGCCCGGCATGCCGAACAGGGCGCCCCGGCGCTGCATGGCCGCGGCGTGCACCCGAGCAGAGCCGAGCCGAGCCGGGTCGGGCCGGAGC